GCATTCATTCGTCTGCATTTGTTGGTGATATGCCGTGCTGAAGATATTCTGCCGTTGCTGCTGGATTGATTTTTAGTGATTCCGGGAGCGTCAACTACTACGGTCATTATTCCCGTACGTGTAGTGCATTTTCTCTACCGTCGGCTAGCAGGGTTTTCCCCCAACCAGGTATCTTCCACCAGCGGGTCACCGCTGCAGCTGGGACAAGCACTAAGCTCCCTACCGGACTCTCGGCATGTGTGATGATGTAGTGCATGTTAGTGCAAATGTGCGTGTAAGTGGTGATAGGTCAAGGAAGATGAAGTAAAGATCGCGCGCAGTTCGTGGTTCTTTTGTTAGAGCACAGCTCCCACATTCGCCTGGGGTTGATCGCATAAACCATGGAAAACTGCCGATGAGAAACGCCCGCCGCTATAATTCTCTTCCAGACAGCGCCTGAATTCGACCTAGCTGACAAGCTAGTGCCGGAAATCCTACTACCGTCGTTACACAGGATCTCCCGGTCAGAGGGACTGCAGTGACATCAAATGATGTCCTGAGCCCTCTTTCGCGGTTTGCTGCTGGAAGGTAGACAAGTCTGCAATTCTGGAGAGTGGATTAACTCGAAATTCGTATTTATTTTATTTATGCCACTAATGCAGCCCACGAGATATATAATGAAAATAAAAAAATATTCCTGTTGTTAGAAACTAATATATTGATTTTAAATCAGGAACGTGGTCGATCCCCAGAAAAAAACAAAGTGTGAATATGTCATAATTTAATTATAATTATATCTGTATTGTAACCCTTGCATACCTGCGGTTGACACAGATACCAACGCTAAATTGAAATAGCGCGGGCAGTGCCCTCTGCAAGAAGTTAGAAACCTCTATTTATATATATTCTGAGATATTTGAATTGTAGTGTCTGTGCCGACCTACGCGGTAGGAAGCAACAAGAGAAGGTTTTGAGACGCGAGGGAGGAAGGTCGAAAAGTGTGCTGTTGGGAAGTGGTGTCGAGTGTGGTGAGAACGAAGAAGAGAAACCGACACTAAAGCTGCTGCGCCTAGGTGTACGGGTATCCAGTTTATTATCTACATTGCCGTGTAAGATCCCGGATCTGCGCGGAGACGTATATTCGGGGACACCAGCGCGCTGACCTCAAGCTTCGAGCCGTTGGGTGAGGCAAAGCCCCGCGAAGAGGTCGGTAATAATCGTCTTTCCTATATTTTTCTCCTTATCTTTCGCCACGAACTTGCCATGACTGCGAGAAGCATCAAGTTCGCCCAGCTTGGTAAGACGTTGGAGGTTCTTGCCAGTAGTTCCCTAGTGCCCCAAGCCACCCCTTTAATGCGTACGTTCAGTGGTTGCGTGTCATGACATCCTCCAGTGTAAATAGTGGTCATTTGACCCTGTATAAGTAAAAAGTAAAGGCAAAGAGCAACAAGCCCATTTAAGTGATTGTTGTAATGAGTGCTCAAAAGTGCATGTAACTTGAACTTTACAAACTGTGCTTGATGCTCCCTTTATATTGTTGTCAAAGTGTTAAAAATTGTATAATTTGGATACAATTTGGATTTATAGATTTGTCAATTTTTTTTCTCTTCAAAAGAGTGAACAGATACTTTGTTATATTGATTTTGTTATTGTACAAAGGTTAATTTTTGTTTTGGTTTGTTTAAGAATATATGTATTTGGGATTGGACATTATCTTGATTCATAATTCCATTTCTCAGACAAAAAAGAATGATCCACGATTCTGTATAAAAAATGAATTTTTTTTTGTTTGGCTGTTGATTATGAATAGTTCACAGTTGTGAACTTCTAACAGTTACAAGTAAAGTAAAATATAGTTAGAAGTGGTTTCAGTATTTCCTGCAAGGGTACTATCGCGCATATTTCATGCTTTGTATTACATTTTATTTCAAAGCCGTTGGCCATGTTTTATCGAACTGAGCTGGAACTGTGCAACCTCTGCGCTTCGAAGGCAATCGCATGAAGACAGGGCACAGTTGCTCACCTCTTACGTTTGCAGCGCACTGCTAAGTTCCAATAACCGTAGGCGTACACGCGGGTGGCCGCGCCCAATCAAATTATAACCTGCAAATCCTGTACAGTAGAAAGTTTCGAATCTGTTAATCTGGGTGGTCAAAAGCACTTCCGACCGACCTTTATGCTCCAACGTATCACACGCAGTAGGCAGCTCAGTAAAAAAATAAAATGTAGCATTTCTCTGTTGCGAACAGACGCTTTGCGCGCGACGTTAAGTTTTTTAGGCCTTTGTGATATTCAAATTCCTATTTTTAGGCAAATCAACATTAGTACTTATGTTCCTGTTGTTTAAAATGTGAATTTCATTGGTGCGGTAATAGCTAAATGCCAAACAGTTGTTAATGTCGTAATTTCAGTAACAACTTATAAACTGTGTGTGTTTAACGAGGTGAAGAAAGAACAGAACTAGTGCCAAGCAATTCTACCAAATTGAGCATTTCCAGAAACGCTCAATTTCTCGAAATCTTTGGAATTTTTTTCTATTCCATTCTACAAGATTACATAATTTTGCTAACTAATACGAGAAATCCTGTGCCATTCTGTAGGATCATTAGTTAAAAATTTGAGTGATAGTTGAGTAGTAGCACTAAAAGGTGGGAAAGTTTCGTTATGACGTGCATAGTTTTCTTTTTATTTTAATTTGGGCTCAAAAGGAGCTGTGGAAGATCAGGAAGCGATATAAGGAAGGAAGCGATGTAGAGGAACGTAAAGACGAATGAACTGTAGAAAGATGTAGAACAAGACAGTTGGGCAAATTTCAGTATTGATTAGTTGTTAGTTGATATTGTGGGGTTATTGACTAGTGAGGTTGATTGGGTGGACTAGTGAGGTTGAGTGGAACTCTATCACGGGAAAATTGTACTAAGTATCAAGTGATAACATGTGTGATATATCAAGTGATAGTATTAAATCCGTCTGTTTAGTAAATTCGAAGTTTTTTATAGATTATTCTGGGCATTTACCGCAGCAATAAGATATCCATATTCCAAAGTATGAAACACACATGAAGTATGAAAAAAAACAAACTCTTTTGACCCATCACTGCCTTGATCAACCGTAAATGGTAAAGCCGCAATAAACTAGTAGATCATTTATAATTTGTATAGTATTTCTCGACATTTCGATGTATTTTCCTTTCATCAAGAAGTAACTTTTTTCTAGTGTCATTGTTTAACTTCATTGTTTTTAAAAATACTGTCTAAAAGTAATAATTACAACAACAAACAGAATTCATAATTACAACACGCTTTGATCGAACATTGTAGGATAGGCTTTGTGCTGTAAACTAATCTGCTGATCATTTTTAACACTGCTCGTGCTTGGTGACACGTTTGTGAGTCCTCCTAGCTAGAAAGCAATGTATCAGCAGTCAAAGGAACTATTGATATGATCAAGATAATTAGATGGTGTTTGTGTACTGGGACTCGGCACGGTATTGTATTTTTACCTAAAGTCTTCGAATGTTGGAATACCTTTTTCCCATTTGTAACATTAAAATGCTTATTACCATTTTCACAATAAAATTTCATAAACAATTTTTCTAGTCAAATGCTTTCTGTAGTCTATACAAATATATTCTACTAAATGGGAAAAAATGGTTTATCACCTCCTTTCGTTCAAGGAGCGTACAAAATTAGTAAATAGAATACATTTTACTTAAAGTAGATGAAACTTCTGTAACCTAAAATACGTACTTACCTCACGGTAGAGCAACGGATTGTTCTGTCAATGAGACTAGTGTCGTCTTGCTCACAGGACAGACAATGCAAAATCAAATGAATGGAATTACATGACCTAATTGCCTTGGCAAGACGACATTAGAATCAAAATAACAGGTGCTTAGTCCCTAAGGACAGCTGCTGTAATCAGGACATTGATTTCTCATTCCCGTTCATTGATCGTACGGCGATTATCCATTTAACGAGGCTATAACGTGCAGATTCCCCCCTTTAATTAGAATAGTGGAGTTGGGAGCTCTTATTCGTGGTCTTTATTTTAAATTGTGTATGTTTTTTCTCTTTACAAAAAAAAAAAATACTGAAAATAAAATAGTGTTCCTGACCAATTAATTTTTTCAAAACTACATATACAAATTTTGAGAGAAAATTAGTCACAAATATCCTTTTAATCGGAAAAGGTATATCAGTTTCTTAGGGTTATTTACATTTAGAAGAATATTACTATCTAATTAATACAGGGAATAATAAAAAGAATAGAGACATACGAAAATATAACAATTTTTATTTGCAAAAATAACAAACTATAATAATATAATAAGTTAATCGAGAGCTTTTCAGCTGTTATAGACGTCTTGGTTAATCCTTGAATCACGTCTGGTAAAAATATTGAAGTATATGTTACTTTTCAGTTCAAATCAAAATGTTGGTTAGTATTGTCAATAATTATGTTTTCCCTTTTACAACTTACTCCGTTAGCATTCTTTTAAAATGTACTGAAGAAATGTACTAGCGCCTAAATGAGGTGGTTGAAAATAAAAAAAAGAACGAAGGAAGAGGAGTAGTTTTGAATAATAGTTTTTTTCAATGTAGTATTTATGTGACGTTACTCTTTGTTTTCAATAAATAATTTTATTCATTATTTTAAGGTCTCTTGACTGATGTGGGCACACACCACAATAAGCTAGAAGACAAAGCATTTCCTTTTTCTCTCTGTCGATAAAGGAATAAATAATTTTTGCATGGGTATTAAATAGACTGCATCTTACAATGTACTAGTGAAAATTTCTTAAAATTCCAAACGGTAAACTTGAATGACACCGATTCAAATACTGGGCGTTTTGTCCGTGGCATATTACACTACCTCTGGCCTCTGATACAATCAGCACACAGATACAGATTATGTGCGGCAGAATAAAGCTTAATTGCAAAACTGCCAAGGAAGACCGGCCTTCATACATGGTTCATTCTTTCTTTTGTTTTCCATAAAGTAAATAATAAGCTGTTCGGGGAATCGGATACCAATGGAATGCTCTGAATTTCTTCTCCCATTAAGCTTTTATGCAAGTGATTTATACATCTGTTTTATAAATTATTGTTTTGTGATGCCGTTCGCTATCCATGCAGAAGAGATGATTTTAGCCACTAGGGGCTTATCCATGACCATAACCGTGCTTTTTGCTGCCGTGAAAGCCGCTCTTTTTAGCGTAGTGGCTTTCGTGACCATGATGGCCATGATGGCCATGGTGTCCTTTATGTCCCTTGTGACCCGACCTGTGATGGCCCTTCCCATGTTGACCTTTCTTTCCATATCGATCTCCTCCGGAACTTTTCTGAAATTTAATATTGCTTTAATGAATAGTGGAAAATATAAGCCGTATAAAATCTTATTCAATTAAAATCTAATGATTCAATATTAAAACATAATGGATTAATAATTGTGTGACATTCATAGAACTATTTTGGTTTCAACAACTAGTAAATAGTAAAAAAAAGTTCTTAAGTAGATTTAATTATTTTTTCAACCCGTGAAGAAATTCCAAGGCTTAACCTTATTCTTATTCTTACCATATTACTGAATTTGTAACATGTAACATTTAAAAATCGAAATTTCTATGAGTAGACGAATTGCTATTATTAAGGAAATGTTATTGAGATTCTCGAACAGTACATTTTAGAAAATGAGAAGTAAAACATGATATTGGCAGTTATTAAATCTACTTAATTTAGTTATTCATGAGATGTGTTCCGCATGAAACGAAATACTCAAATTCTCGATTGAGAAGTAGTGATTCTTAACAACTTAGTGGATTTTCAAAGACTATTTTGAATCTATTTGGGGGCAAATATGGACCATGCAATCATTTCAGGAAAAAAATAACTACTCTCTTTAAGTTTAAAAATATCTAAGACATAATTTTGAGTCTATTTTGGCTCTAATTTAAATATAATCGTTTCAGGAAAAAAACCTTTTTACCAATTCACATTAAGTTTGTTCTCTTTAAATATTTTGTGTTCATGTTGACAAACTTACCGAAAACTTGCCTCCCTGCTCCTTCTTGGCACCGTGCGTATAATAATGTTCTCCTCCTTCTCCGAAATCATGGAAGTGGCCTTTTTCATTGTTATTACTCCAGTGTTTGTCAATTTTGTGAGATTCGTCTTTATGGTATTTATCTCTGAAACCCTGTGAACGAAACTAAGTATAAGACTATGCCTTACAACAGACTTACTAGTATGTTTTAAGTTGTTGATATATGTTAAATTGTATTACAGTCGTTGTTTTTATTTAGAAATAAATTACATTATTTAACAGTTCAAATAAATTATTAAATTTAAAATTTTTAAACGTTTTTATTTTCTATTCACAGAGTGAGGTGGCTAAGTGCGTAGCGCGCTAACTTCGATCCATGGGCCGGCCACCCTGATCGGGTTTTTCATGGTTTCCCTCGGTCACAAGGCGAATGCCATGATCACCTCCCACCATCATCCTAGTCCTTTCACCCGACATCACCCTCTCACTTCCCTGCAAAGGCAACAGGCCCATGCCCTTAATGTAATATCAGATAAATTATAATAATATATTCAGCAATGATGGTTGATACTTTTTGAGTAAATGCTTACTTAAGACTTCACGCTTTTTGGGGTTAATGATACCAAAAAATTGTTTGACGAGAAAATGTCTGTCCGTCCTTCCTTCCGTTCCTTTGGTGTCTACGCTAGCACAAAAATCGTTCAGAGGATTTTCTCCGACTTTGATGTACCCGCATCGATCTTGACGATTTAAAGACCCTTGGTATTTTGATTTTGTGGTACTTTATGTGAAGCCTTAAAACATTTTCAAAATTTACTCAAAGAAAGCTCTAAATTTTCTGATTAAATTTTCTCCACTGAGATAACAAACAAACTTTTAACAAATTTCGCAAGTCTTTGTCGTTAAACTCTTAAGTTTTGGAAATTTCAAAAGTTTAAACTTTTATCGGCGTCTTCCTACAGATACCATATTAAAGATGGAAATTTTTTGCGTTACGAAATATATTTTTCAAAGACATATCTTTAAATAGGTTCATGTGCAATTTTTTGAAAATATGAGTATATTTTGCGAAATACTGTGTGATATATGCAAGTTTGAACAATTAACGGTTAATGAACGGTTAACAAGAACGGTTTTATATTTTTTTTAACTATGGTTTTTTCGTATAGGGCAAAGTAAACTTAAAAATATAGCGCAGGTTAATTTTCGGTGCACTGTCCGTGTTTTAATATTGCAAAAATTAACATAGTAAAACCAAAATATTTGTTTACCAATCTAATTCTTAACAAAGTTCTTGGGAGACACTTTTTTAATGAAACCTGTTTTAAAGAATTATATCTTGAAATAGATACAATTTTTTTTGAACCTTGAGGTTTCGCGCAGTTCGTTTTTAAAAATAATGGCAATTATGAAAAAAATATCATTTCTACCACATTAATGCATTTGTAAACACTGTTTGTGCTTCAAACGATTTACTATGAAGTTTCTAAAAAAATCAAAACTCTTTGATAATCAGCTCACAATTGCGCAATTTCAGAAAATACATTTTCTAAAGATAGGAGAAAATTTTTTAAATGAAAATAACCTACAGGAATACGTTGTATTCTTAAAGACATTTATAATCTACTATTACAGGAAAAATTTGTGAAAATGGGAAGAAATATAATTTTAGCGCAAATAGCAGCTAGGGCGAGGAGACAGTCCCGAAAATCTAGCCTTGACCAAAGAGAATAGAATACCAATTAATGCGAGAAAATATGTGTCATTCTGTAGCTTCACTAGTTTTTCCAATTTGATATTACAGGTGTGTCTCGTGAAATTATAAATAAATCTGAAAGTTAATGAAACTTGGGATTAATTGCTATTTGATCTTTCCAATGTTACTTCACGTGTCAATATTTAAAAACATAACTATATAATAATTCAAATTATTAATTAATTACTCTGAAAAACACATTTTAAAAATTGGTGGATATCTGGGAATCTAACACTTTTTCTTAAATAAGTGAAACGTACTGATTCAAAATATGCAAACTGTCCCAATCACCCACCGCTTTTTAGGGACATGTTGGCACCCAGCTTTTTGTAGGCACTAATGTACTTCACAACATTTACATAGCAGATTTATAAATTCCTAGAAAATTGGCTACAACTGATTTGAATGCCCCCATGCACTTTTTACTTTCTCGCACTAACGTAAGAAGAGTAATATAGTAATTGTGCTCTAGAAAACGGCAAATTTTCGACAAAAAACTTATTTCCAGGTCTCGGTAAGGAAAAAGTGGGTAAATCCAGTTGCTGGGCAACTGGGTAGCTAGAATCCGTTATGTGGATCCTTGATGCCGAAAAATCGATTGACGGCAAAACGTCTGTGTCCGTCCATCTATGCACAACGCTAGTGCATAAACTTTCAGCTTATTTTCTCCAAATAGATATTTCTCAATCATTCTCGCCAATGTCGCGGACCCTGGAATTTGAAATCGAAATTTTAATTGTGCGGGGTACTTTACATGAAGCCCCTGGGACATTTTTAAATTAAAAAAAAAATGGATCCAAATTTTTTGATTAACTTCTGATGTTGAATACGGCAAAGAACACAGGTCTCATTTTCGCTGACAAGTCGAAAATTATAAAAAAAATAAAACATCAAAATTAAGAAAATAAAATGATGTATTTTGGGCAGAGATAGATGGCAGCTAGCAAGAGTATGTGGCTAGCTAATAGCTACCCGAGATCAAAGGAAGTAGAAAATTAATACGGGAAAGTCTGTGTTATTTAGTAGCATCACTAGTTTGGGTATCATTCAGTAAGTATCGGAAATGACTGCTAGTAGTTAACTTCTTTATTTCTGGACCTGTGGACACACCTTTTTTCAATTTCGCAAAACTCACCTCTGGAAACGTGTTGCACATGTACCGAAAAGCATCCGAATTGTTGTCTATACGAACACAAGTCCGACCGCACAGTAGCGAATACTGTCATTCATTGCAGAGTAATGCGATATCGAAAATGCATTAAAATATTATCTCAAATATATTTTTTTTCACATACAACGAAAATATTGTGTGGCGTTGCGAAAATGCAAAAAACATAAGGATACAAAATTCTTGAAGGGTGTTCCATGAAAATTATTTTTTTATCGATATCTTATAAACCTGACGTGACAGAGCAAAACGGTTTTCGGATTAGAAATCAACATATCAAACTACATTGGAAAACGTAAAAACCATGCCAGATATCCATAACTTGTTTATTTGTGTTACTAGCACGGGGTGTGGTGAGCAGAAAATGGTCCTTATATTTTATTGGAATTTTGACGGTTGGTAATAGTGATCCCCAAAGACGAAATTTCGATAACCTCTCAGACAGAAAAAAAAATTACTAGCAATTTTTCGTGATAATAGAAGGAGGAACGAAACATTTGAATTTTATCACTTTTCAAGGAACAGAATAATCAATCCAAGTTGTGAAGTTACAAAATGCCTTCCTTTTGTTGAAAATTCTATGGCATGTATCTACTAATGCACATCAGTAATTACAACAAAATAAGACTCACTAAAAAATCTACTTCACCTTGGAGAAGCGCGTCTTTGCACGGCTTCCGCCGCTCTTGTAATGGTGTCCGCCTTGGCCACCCCCATAATGGTGGTGGCTACCACCATGGCCGCCGGAGTCGTGGTGCGAGCCTTTACTGCCTTTCTCCTCCTCGTATTGGCCCTTTTTCTGCTCGTGGCCCTCGGAGCCTTTGCGGTGCGAGTAGTGGTCGTGTTTGGCATCGTGTCCCTCGCTGCTCCTGGAGCCCGAGATACCCGAGTGGTCGCCCTTGTGGTGGTGGCTGTGACCTTTCTCTTCGTGGTGTTCACCTGGGTCCTCGTCGTCAAAGTGGTACGTTGCCGCTGCTACTGGTTCCACTGCGAATAGATTTCGGTATGTTAAGAAAAACTTAACTAAGGATTTAAGGAGGGTTCATTTTTTTGAACTATAATATTATAACCATCATTAAATCAAGTGCATCAAACAAATAGTACATACAGTAACGTTTAAAACTTTCCTTAACATATACGTATTGTTTGGTTCACAAAATATGTTACAACAAATATCGATTATAACTTCTGGTAAGAGTGTTGATTTTTAATATGGTCGGAAGTAGAAATGAAATTGTGGAAAGAGATTGCCATTTGTGGTAATCATTGCCATTTCTCGCACAATTACTGATTTGACACACCTACGATTTGTATCCTTTTATCATTGGCAGAACCAGAGATTTTATTAGACTAGACTAATTATTTTATATTTAGGAGTGCGACAACCGCGAAGTGTGAGTCCCGTAGACGTAATGAATGGTATATCTCAGAAGGTGCTGCTACTCCTTCCGTGTTGGAATGTGGGATTGCTTTGATTGATTAGTGATTCCTGACGGGTCAAATTTAAGGTCATTAGTCCCGTAAGTGTAGAGTATGTTTCGCGAGAGCAGGCGGTGATCCTCCCCTGCTGGATAGCGAGATCTGGCACCGAACTACCCGTCAGCTTGCGGATCTTTCCCCAACCATGTTCCTCCCATCATCGGGACACCGCTCCAGCCGAGGCAATCTCTAAGCTCCCGACTCTTCATTGAGTTGCGCGGTAGTGCAGTGCATGTAAGTGTAGGTGTGTATATAAGTAAATGGTAAGGATATGACAAAGATGTGGAAGGAGAGATCGCGCGCGGTCCGTGGTCCGCTTGTTAGGGTACCGCTCCGACATTCTCCAGATGTTAATGGAAGAAATTATTAAAAACTAGTGATTAAGAGAGCCGGCTGCTTGAATTCTCCCCCATGCAGTGGCTGAATTCCACCAAGCACTCTATCCAGTGACAAAAACCCCGCCACATTTGGGACTCGAAGTGTAAGACGTCTAGGTCAGATTAATTGATGCCCTAAGTCACCTAAGCCGGTGTGAAATTGGGCTTGTGAGGTTTCCCTCCTCACAGTGTCTCTTACGCAGTGAGTAGTGGAGTCAGCAAAATTCACGGGGAGACAAGAGAGAGATGGAGAGAGAAGGAGAACGGGGAGAGAGGACAGAGGAAGAGAGCGGGGGAGAGAGTAGAGAAACGGGGAGAGAGAGGAGACTGGAGAATGAGAGAAACGTGCGGAGAGAGAGAGAAA